TCTGCGTGTGTGTCTGTGCGTGTGCGTGCGTGTGTGTGCGTGTGAATAAAATTGTTTGCATGCGATAAACAAAATGACATGTAGGTGTAATATTATTAATAATGTGGGAAAAAGAATCTCTGCTTTCTTTTCATTTTTTTATATTTCAATTTTCAAAATCGTTATTTTGATTCTAGTCAAATTTTGGGATGTACTTATATCTAGATGAAAGATATTTCGTAAACATATCAATAAATGAATGAATGAATGAATGAATAAACGAATGAATGAATGAATAAACGAACGAATGAATGAACAAGTTGAATGAATCAAATGTCAACTCGAGAACAACTGCACGAAATCATATTTATTTATTTATTTGTAAACAGCTAAACAAATGACAAAACAACACAGCATACCAACAAGCAACAACAACAACCACAACAACAACAACATAGCGTAATAAACAACAACAGATTAATGTCAAATAACATGGCTAGTAACAAAACAAAAAAGCCAGCAACAAACACAACATGTTTAGGAGCGCTACATACATACGTATTTACAGTTAGGCAGCACGATAATTACCGCCTATTACAGCAGCCATCAATGTTTATCTATCGCCAGGAGTATTATCATCTTATAAACGTTTATTTATCCGTACGAACTAGTTACATCTTTTGTATACGGCCCTGTACACCACGGAATGGCTGAAATACATAGGAAATATAGAAACACACACACATACATACACACATACATATACACATATACATACACACATACATATGCATACACACATATACACACATACCTACACACACATATACACACCCACAAAACATACACTAAGACTCATAAATTCCTGGTAGCATACTTTCCGTCCGGATGTACGAAATGGTTATAACTAATTTTAGGATACAAGTTTTTCTGGTGTATATAATTTATGAATATTTTACTGACAATGTAGACAACGTGATGGTTGAGCCTTTGTTGGAGTTTAGTAACGGCTAATACTTAGAATGTGTTGCTTCGTTTCAGGAAAACTTTACAAAATTGTGGAAAAATATTTAGAATTTGTGGAGTGTCCTGCAGTCATTTAGAGGTGAGTGTTGCTACCACATTTGCGGCAGGTAATAGCAAGCGACAGCGTCATTTGCCATTTACGAAGTTGGTCGTCACGTCGCATGCAAGTGATAATTGAATAAAACCCAGGGGAATGAAATATGCATGCCTCCAATTTCCTAAGTAAAAAATTATGGAATCATTTTTTTTAAACTAAGTGCTCTAAAATTATCATCACAAGTGTCCTGCAGTCAAGAAACACCCACGCACAAACACGTGCACGTGCACCTACGCGTACGTACAGAAGACGTACGTACATAACGCGCACACAAATGTACAGCTGATGCACATTTGCGTGTTGTACACTTCACATACTTCCATATACGCAATATATACACTCGATGATACTTCATACGCATGCATAATAATTTTACGCAAGATATGCATGGGTACAAAAAACATATACACATGACACAAATGTTCTGAATAGTTTATGGAATAATATCCCAAAGACCAACTCAATTCACTTACGCGCACAATCACACACGCATATAAGCTAACATGCAAATTTATGAAAAGCACGTACAGTTAAACACACACACACCCACACACCACACACACTCACATACACATACAAACGCACAAACAAACACACAAACAAACATAGTCCAACAAATCCTTTCATACGAAACTTCCATCGTTAACACTCGGCTGATCACATCAGAGATTGCATTCAATTTGAAGATTCAATGCGTTCGTGTTATTATACTGGCGGTCCATACTTATTCATCCATCCAAACATTCACATGAGGGCGGCCATTTTGATGACGCTTATTATTATTATTATTGTTGTTATTATTGTTCTTCTTCTTATTATTATTTATGACAGATGGCGTTTAAGATAATGGTGATGATATGTGGTGATACAAAAAAACGACTAACAGAAGATGACGATGATAATGACGACGACATTAATGACCACATTTGACATAAGGATGATGATGTGACAAAATAATCATGACGTCATCACCGAGAATGGTGACGTAGCGATGACGTAGTGATGGTGACGAATGGTGAAGATAATAATATAAAATGACTGACTGCATCTTTTAAATTTGATTTGATGAAGCACTCAAAGTTTGAGCATTTTAAAGTTAAATTTTCATAATTATTCATCTTTCACTGTGAGATGAACCTTTCTTTCACATCTTTCCTCTACATTCCTTAATCCAGTTATCCAATCATTTTTCTTTAGTTTACCCCACGGTGGTGTGATGATGACGACAACGATGACGATGATAAGAACATAGATTTTTTTTTTCTCAAAAGATCATATATTCTTTATAAAAATTAATTTAATTACATCATTCAAATAAATTTATTTATATTATTTGTATAGATATTTTCTTATTTAATACACACCAACTACACAACTAATTCCCACATCATCACATCATCACATCATCAAACCCTCATACCATCACATTCAGTAAAGTCATCGCCATCATCACCACCGTCGTCGTTGTCATCTTCCTTATCGAGTGGTGACATTTTTTGGAACAAAGGTAAAATATTCGCCGAAGACTCAGACAACATCAGCTTTTCGTGCTCAGTTAAGAAATACGACGCATTCGACATAGTGCAGATCAAAAGGAGGTGCACTCTCGATAAAGAAAGCTTTGAAGAAATCCTCACAATAAATGATAACTATGAGAAAGAACTGTTGGGTAGAAGGTACAAAATAAATTACCTGGAGCTCGTTGGAAGGGCACTCATTAACCTAAACATCACCAGTTGGTCTATTTCTTTATTTTGTGATGATGTTGTGATGATGAAGATGATGATGTGCGTAGAATGTAGAGACGACGACGATGGTAATGGTAATGAGAGAGAGAGAGAGAGAGAGAGAGAGAGAGAGAGAGAGAGAGAGAGAGAGAGAGAGAGAGAGAGTATGAAAAGTGAAAGCTGATTTAATTACAGTTGGCTTTGAAAATAATGAAAATCGAATTATTTTCAATAAAACAAAATTCAAAACAACCCCGACAAACATATTTGAAACGTACAACTAACTGACTCTCTCACCACAAAATCTTACAGATGTGACTGGATTCGACGGATGTACGTTTCAATGCTCGAACGAGCAATACGATCTGTACGCCAGTACAAAACTCGTTGTTAAGGGTACTGTTGTCCTTCTATAGCATTATTTGTTTAATTGAAAACAAATAAGTTATAATAACAACGATTTATATACATTTTGTTGTTCTGCTTAACATTTGAAAGGTGTTCATTCAGTTTTAACGACTAAAAACTCATTTCAAGCAAATGTTTTCGTAACATACATTGCCAACAATCCCGACGAACCAGGAATAACGAAAGTGCAGAGTGTGGTGCACCTCAAAAACGGGACCACCATCATTAACGACAAGAGCGAACGACAAACATTGAATCTATTTCCGGAGGAAGTGCACCTGATTGGTTGTCAGCTTCTGACCAATCAGCCCGAGAAGGCACACATGGAGGCTTTCTTGGAGAAAAAAAAACTTTCGTTAAAATTGTTCAACACGACGGTAACATTTTCAAATACTCCTTAGATATAACATTTTTTTAAAATCTAACTAATTTTTAACCACAAAAATCAACAAATTCAGTTATAAATGTTATTTCCTAAGACATGTTACTAGCCTTTGTTAGACCTGTTCGTTATTTTATCGGGATTTAAAAAATGAATAAAAGAAAAATCTTTCAGTACCTACCTACATCATAGAGATACCTCAACAGCGTCTAATGACATTTTTACAAAAAATAAATTCGATGACTCCTAATAAAGAAGCAACCTAACGGCACATTTTATATCGAGATAACTGAACTAAATTTCAATTTTTTTTATTAATTTTCAACAGTACGAGAAAGAGAAACTAAAAAATGATGTGAACTATTGGGTGAAGAAGGAGTTCTTCAAGGTAGAAGGTCTGCCAAGCATCAACGTCTCCCACAATAATGATGTCCTCACATGTGCGTACACCAGCAACAAAGACAAACACACCACGAGTTTCAGATTTAATATTTTATGTAAGTTGTCCTGTTCGCGTTTTTTAATAATCTTTTTATTATTCGATTTGAGATTTCATTGATATTTCTTAACATTGAATACCATTCTAGCAAATTTTGAGTGAGACTTAGACTAAGTATTTTATTTTTTGTTTAGAAGATGAGTTTCATAGAAAGAAAGACAATTATTTTTCGTAATGAACCCTCCTTAAATCAATTTTTTTTTCTTTCCCTAATCGCCTAACTAGTTGGACCAGCTCTGAAAAGATGTACCACATCCAAACTGAAAAACCAAACTGACGGTCGAATGATCGTCTGTGAGGTCAGTTCAAATCCACTCCCGAAATTAAAAATCGAAAAAGATGGCGCTTCCGTCAACGGATCGGAGTACAACGTCACTGAACAAGTATCAAATTTTCTAAATCCTCCAAAAAATATTTTTAAATTAAAACCTTAACACGATTTCACAAATCAAGTTCTACTGCTATATTTATTGCTCGGTTATATTTAAAAAGAGTTTACGTTGGCACTTATCCTTTGCAGATGACGCCAGATGACGCCGTAAAATTTGTAATAACCCAACCCCTGATCAACATATCCAGCTTATATGAGTTCAGGTTTGAAAATTATTTGGGAGTCGTCTCAAAAAGAATTCAATTCCGCGAGTCCGACGCTGATTACGACGAGTTGGTCATTGCGACAGCCAAACAAGTTTACCTACCTTCATTCAGTAATTTCTATTAATTTCAATTAATTTTTCTTATAAATTTTTCTCAATTATTTACAAATTATTAAATTTTACTTATTTTCTAAACATTTTAGTTTAATGATTCTAAAACTCTAACACTCAAAAGTTTATAAAAATTAATTTTCAAAGGCCGCAGTCAAGAGTTTTCACTCTTAGTAACCGTTTCAAGTTTACTGGTCATGAAAATTTTATCTTGAGATTGCAGGATTGTTCATATTTGATTGTTGAATTTGATGTGACGCACAAACGTTAGTGGATGTCATTAATGTGAATCAACGAAGTCATCAATAAAAACTGAGTGGGTAGATTTTAAAATTGTGCACATAAAATCGAACAAGGCTAATTCTATATACACTAAATACTATAATATACCATACAGAAATCGCTTAAATTTCAAACGAGAAAGAACTATTTTTCATAATATATCTGTCTGTAATAATATTATTAATTGATTTATTATTCATTAGCATTGTTATTATTATTTATAATATTATTTGTTATTATAGTTGTTATTGAGTGCTAGTTAGAACACTTGTCATCGCAGTCATAGATTAAACAGGTGAAATCCACGATTTACTTGCGGTTAATTCAGGTCAAGTTTTTATCATTTTCAAAGTTGAGTTGTAACAAATAAATATTTCGGAACAATTATTTATTTAATTATTAAGTTAATCATTATAAATAATATAATTAATATTATGTTTATTAATAACTTGTAACAATATCTTCAACACTATTAACGTGAATCAAACCTTAAAGATTTGAATGATTAAGATTAAGATTAAGCAGCGTATTGTAGAGAATCTCTTCTTAAATATTCTTCATTAAAACGTTTAAAAAAATTTCAGGCATCTAATAAATTAAAAACTGATAATGTTTCTACTAATAATAAAGAAAATAATAAGATAGCATTTTAATAATATGAAATAAATCAAATTTCATATTTTTTACTACTCAAATTGAATGTTGCTACAATAAAGATTAAACGAGTCAAGCATGTTCCAATTTTAATTTCTTCAACACAAACCAGCTTTAATTTGAGTTTTTGCTCAACTTTTTTCCCGCAAATTTAAAAAAAACCAGTCATCTTTACACTTTAAAAATGATTTTTTTTATGATTAATTAGGTAAAGACGCACTTAAAATAATTAAGCTTGGAAAAAATGGACACCATATAATGATTGATTCAGTTTCAGTCCTCAATATTATTTTCAAACTTTAACTTATACAAGCATATTGCAATATTTAGATAAAAATTTTCAAACATAAATGATTTAATTTCATGAATGTCGTGCGTGGTGTATTATTTGTTAATTTTTAACTTTCTACCCAACACATTTCAACAAATAATTCTGTTTGGTACACACCTCCTTCTTACTAATCCATTTTATAATTTATATTGAACGTCTTTCTTCTAAAGTTTATTTTCCACCTTTTTTGGCTTGATAATATTTTACAGCATTTTGTCATTTAATATTTTAACCTATTATTCGTCTGTTAATAAAAAAAAATGTTTTAATTCATCACAAATGTCCTATTAATGTGGACTCAGTTGTTCGTCGTCGCTTGCAAATTCGCAATTTCGTTGTTAGCAGTGTGGATTGAAAATTATTGTTATATATATATATATATATATATATATATATATATATATATATATATATATATATATATAAAGTAGTAAAGTAGTGTGGATTGAAAATTATTGTTATATATATATATATATATATATATATATATATATATATATATAAAGTAGTAAACTGTAAATATTTATTTGATATTATAGAAAAATATTTTTAATAAAAATTATTGTATAGGCGTGCAATTTATTAAAATTAATTATATTTTCCTACAAGCTTGTTCGTTGCTAAATAAATCAATCATTTCTCTGCGATTCATTCGTTATTTTTAATAATTTTCAGCCTTTTATAATTCTCTTTCTAATTGGAGCTGTTAAAATAACGATGTCATGTAAATTTTTTGACGTTTTGAACAATAAAAATTTGTCATACTGTGTCAAACATCTCATCTTTCTGATCGAAAATAGCGTTCAAAACAGTGAAAAACTGGAAAACAATAATTGCCATATGCAAGAAATCACTTTAATAACCTATTTATAAATGCAATTCATTAAAAAAAATTTAGAACCTATACAAAATAATGATAAAAATAATACAAATATGTTCGCCGTCTTATTTTTTTGAATAATTGTATAACCTAGTACAAGCCTCTAGTGAATTCCATATGAATATATTTTAACACAATAAAAACTTAAAATAAAAAGCAAATTTTCTTCTAAACGCGTCATCTTATTCGCCTAGAAAAATGTAGAAATCCCAAGTATCACCTATTAATCAGACATTTCTGAAGTTTCAGACATATTGAAACAAAAATCGTTGTATTGTATATATGTGTTGCTTTACACGTGTTATATACATCATTGTGTTATATAACAACGTATATTTGTATTTATAAATATAAATATACATATTCATTTATTGTTACTTTGTAATTGCTAAATATTTTTATAAAATGTATGAGCATGGATATACAATATATACACATATACGATAAATTTATACACACACATATACAATACACACATACATATTCATATATATATATATATATATATATATATATATATATAAATAAAGTGTAATGGTTAGCATGTTGGCAATATCACGTTAAAGGATAAAAATCCGCCATGATTGATATAAGCGAGGCGGTGCTGATAGCCCACAAATAAGTTCGAATTAATTGCAAAATTGCGAATTTTTGCGGTGTTTATTTTTACGAATAGTTAGGAAATTAATCTTTAAACGATATTATTCGTTAAAATTTGTCGTAAATTATTTTTTTAGTCGACGTTATCGCCGAATTGTATCGAAGTGCTTCGTCATTGTAGGACGGGTCCATTTGCATGGAAGGGGTGTTCAGAATGAATAAGCTCACTTTCAGGGCCAAGGCGCTCGACTCCAACAAGCCTTTACAAGTTTTCGTTGGAGACGATATTCCAGACTCCACAGATTTTGTGACGGCCAACCGGACGGTGCCTGAAATGCCGACCGGAATGGAAAAAGAAGAGGAAACGGTAGGCCGACCGCCCCTTATCTAATGAAATGGGCTTAAATGTTATTGTTTAAGAATAAAAATTTAATTCATTTTTTGCTGCATATTTCAATTTTATCGCTTAAGGGGTCGTAAAAAGGTTTTATTTATTGAAAAAATGACATTTTATTGAACTTTTTCGCATTTTAACTGCGCTGGTCCACACGTCAAATATCATTATCTAGCGCTCAATTTTTAACAAAATATTATTTTCATTAGTGAGTAATATTGAAATCGTTAGATTTTTCAATTCTTTATCGAAAAAAATAACAGTTAATGATAAAAATATTATAAACTGAATAAAATAGTTTGCTGATTTATAAAAGTTGCACTTAGTGACAAAAAATGATTGCATTGATGTTGGGCTATTATGGTTCACACTCACTACCAACACCATTTAGCAACACCACTTGCAAAAAGCACTTATCAGCCAGCAATCGTTTGGCTTGGTTAATCGACTCATCATTCCTGTCCCCGATGTCAAAGTTATTGACGAACGGTACAAACAAACTTATTCCTCGAGGTCGAAGTTTCAGTTACCGAAGAAATTCATCCATGTCCAACGTTAGTTAAAGTAGTGTTTGAGTCTTGGTGGATTCAAAATCAAATCATTCTAGTTTTAGTTGATTAAGCTAGTATTAAAATGAGAATGTTTCTTATTTAGCAAAACAGATTGAAAAATTCATTTAGAAAGAACATTGTTGTTGCAACCGTGTTTGTTGCATTGTATTTATTGTTTACATATTGTATTAATCCATGTGTTTGTCAAGGTTTAATTTTGTAGAGAGTAAAAAAGAAGTTTTTCAAAATGGTTACTGCTGACAAAATATTGGTTGAGTTATCATAAAGCGATGACATTCTTTTGTCATCATCTATCATTTTTGTCATTCTTATCGCCATCACATCTTGGCCATAATTATCATCTTAATGATCATCATCATCATCATAGCTTCATCAACGGACCAAGATGTTCCTGATTATGATATGGATGAGGAGGATGAGGAATGGCTGATGAGCCATCCTCTGACCAATCAGAAACTTCTTAACGATCCAATCAGGTCTTCTGGCTATTTATAGATCCCCTGCATAATTATCATAATTTATTCGGTTTAATAGAAAGAATGATGATTGTAGAAAATGTTAATAACCTGTCGCTCTTATCATTATCATCACCATGCCTTCACCATCCATGCCTTCATCATCAGCGGTATTTTAGTATCATCATTATCTACACAAGCTTCGTTATCACTATCATCATCATGATTATTCCCATCATTTCTATCAGTATTATTGTTATTATTATTATTATCATTATTATCTTATCTATTATCTTTGTGACGTCATCATCATTATTATCGCAACTTCTACACCAGGTTTGAATGTGTGATGGATAAACTTGAGAAAAGCAGCAGCCATACTGTGAGTTTGCTGATGGTGGTGATGATGATGCTGGTAAAGTTGGAGATGATGATGGTGGTGATGATGATGATGATGATTGTGGTGATGGTGATAGTGATGGTGAAAAAATTGTGACAACTGGTGGTTATTGAGGCGGCGACGATGACGTCAAACTTGATGATTGTTATACAAAAAATGTTAATAATAATAATGACGTATAAGTGTTGTTTATGAATAGTAGAGTGATGACGACAACAGTGGAAACATAAATTGCTGCAGGTTATATCATTACCTGAAGCCAAGGCCCTGATAAAAGAAAAGGATGACGTCATCATCGCCATTTACGATTACTGGCTGACTAAAAGGCTTAAACAAGTATGCCACTACTGTTACTACTACCACTATTACTGCTACTGTTACTACTACTGCTGCTGCTACTACTGCAACTACTTCTACTACACTGCTATTACTAATACTACGTTTACTATATGCTACGTGATGAGATTGAATGAATGATTGACTCTCCCCACTAGATGATTGTATTTGTAACAAGTCACTTGAAATCACCTGCCGTAGCTTAAGTTTATTTATCATCCCATACATTCATTATCAATCCATCAATCAATCAATCAATCAATCATCTTTCAAACACTGATTCTAACAGCAGACCAAACTTCAACATCTAATAAAATTGGAAAGGAAAGAGTTGGCAGCAACTGCAGCTGCTTCATCATCAACGTCCGCTGCAACGACGTCGACAACACTTCTCAGCAGCAGCTGCATTGGTGGTGGTGGTAGTAGTGGCAGCAGCATTAGTAACGTCCATTCAATCAATCCTTATGTGGCTTTCAGAAAGAGAGCTGAAAGAATGCAGACGAGGAAAGTTAGTATTGAGGATAGTGACGAAGATGAATCTGGTGATCATTACACAAGATGTCTGAATGTCTCAAAGCATAATTCTTGTGAATTATTTATATTTTTTTACTATTTTTGTAGAAAATGTTTTACAAATTGTACTCCAGAATCGAAAAAATGATGAACAGTCGTACTTGAAGATGCTGAAAGTGAAGGATGGTCTATTGAAAACAATGTTGGTCCCGTTGGATCATCATCATCATTGTGACTGTGACGTCATCATTATGACATCATCATCATCGTCGTGACGTCATCATTACATCTTCATTATTAACGCCACAGACATTGAGAATGCCATATATTATTAATATTGTTATCATCATCATCATCGTCGTCGTCATGTTTCAGCTGATTATGTGTTTTATTTTTTGGCCAGTTTAAATGATCCCATTCAACATATCCTATTACAACCCTGATGGCTTGTTGAATGATCTTTATGGCTTGTTGAATGATCCTCTGAATGATTTCAAAGATGATACTGTGATGAAAATTTTTTTAATGTCAACAATAACAATAATTGTAATAGCAGTAATAATATGAACGTTAATGGTGATGATTGTTATGATAATGATAATGACGTTGATGATGATGATACGGCTGATGATGATGATGATGGTGATGATGATGACATCCAGGTCTCTATTGAAGATGCTGAGACAGAGGGAGATTCTCAAAAAGGCACAAGTGCAAATCAAAAGTGATCTGTTTATAAAGCGGTTAATTAATTAATTATAATTAATTAATTAGATTAATTTATTCATTTGTTTTTTTTAAATCTCTAGGGTTTGAATTGTTATGTAATGATGAATTTTTTTTATTAAGCTGTTCCAAACTTGAGAAAAATAAATTTGTATATAATTTATATTTACAATAATCCTTTTCTTTAATCAAACAGCTACGAGCAGTCTGACTGGTCTGGCAGCCAATTAGAAGAGGCCATTCAAAAATTCAAATCAACCCGCCCCGTCAGCCGACCAATCACAATTCAGAGCACAAACTCTTATACCTCATCTAACAACAGATGCCATAATAACAATAACCTTATATACAATGAGACTTACGGGCCTAACATCTACCACAACGACGTTAATAACAGTAATAACAATAATTTTCATAAGAATAATAGTAATAATAACAATGTGCAAAGCCATAGGCCGCAGAAAAATCAAAAATCGCAAAAAAATTATCTCAAATCCACTCACAAGAAACACTATCACACTCACCACCACGGCCATTATCACCATCATCTTCATCGTCACACGTTTGCTCGCAACACCACTGATAATGATATCCACTTGTCAGATAATGATAGCAAGAATGACGACGACGATGACTATGTTTGTGATAGAAATAATAATAACAACAACAACAATAATAATAATAATAACAGTACTGCCGATAAAGGTGATGTTATCACTCTAACTAAATCTTTAACACTGTTCCCTACCTCTGTCATGGACAGCCGACAGGACGACGATGACGACGATGATGTGAATGTTGATGATGATTTCACGGGTGATGATAATGATGAGGCGTCAATGGATGGAAGGTTTGCCTTTCGGAGGAAAAAAGGATGTTTGTATTACGATGTTAGTAGAAGTTTACAGTATTACATTTATATATATATATATATATATAGTGAATTTTTTGTTATTCTTGAGATATTTGGCCACTGTTATTATTATGATTATTTTTTTATTGTTTTTTTTTTTTTAGTTTATTCCATTTTTATCCTTCCATTTCTCTGCAAACGACCACTCGTCGACTGACAATACTGTGTTTTCCAGGTTAGTTTCGCCGTTCTGTCCCTCTGGATTTTATCAATTTATTCTTTTTGTTGTTTTACATGTAGTAGATGGCGCGTTTAACGTTTTCTGGTAATGTTGTTTTTAAAAATGCGTTTTTGCTTTTATTTTCTGTTTTGTTTCTTTGTTTTCAGTGTGTAATTTATCTTTGTTTTTGTTATCTTGACTTGATCAACTAAACCCTTGAACTTGATTCGCCAGATGTCCAAGACAGCAGAGGAATCAAAATTTCTCATTGGTCAGCATTGATGAATCTCATCGCAGGATTGGTCAATTGAGACAGCGAATAGGAAGAGGAGGAAGGTTTGTTGTTTTCATTGCATTGATTTTTTTTTTATGTTGGGGATATATATTGTTTGTGGAGTGTTAATAAAGATTCGACTGATTGATTGATTAATTGATTGGATGGATGATTAAGTATCTATTCCAATCACAGTCAGTCAATAAATTAATAAAATCTGCAGAGTTATATGGGACAGAAGTCCATACGAGCCAAATGAGTGGCAGTCACATCAACCACCTCATCGACATCAGCCACAAAATCAGCAACAGCAGCCACACCGGCCACATGTATACACCAGACACAAACAAGTTAGAAGCACCGGCAACGATGATGTCAGTGGCCATCATAACAGTTTGAAACGTGAAGGCTTCTTAAACAGCGACGTCATGGACAGCAACTTCTGCTTCTCGACATTTTTAGACGACTACACATCCGACGACTGCAACGTCAAAGTTGAAGATGTAGAGGTGGATGTCGTCTCCGACGACAAAACTTTTTTCAGCAACTTCGAGGACGGCAGCATTTCAACATCCGACGACAACTGCAGCAACATGAGCAGCTTGAACGTCATCACGTCGTCGTCGTCGTCATCAAGAACGGCACGCGGTCAACAGAGCTGTTCGTCATTTTTAAAACGGAAATGCACGTCGAGGACCGGATCAGCTGACAGTGGCATATCATCGCCGTCGCTCCCTGCCTCATCCGTGTCGCCGTCGTTATCAACCTATCTACCTCAATCATCATCTCTATCATCATCTTCATCAACATCATCTTCATCAACATTATCTTCATCATCGTCATCTTCATCATCGTCATCTTCATCATTATCAAATAAGTCCTCGTCGTCTTCACTGGTGACCAGGGTTGCGATATGTTCAGATAATAAATGTAAAACTAATAACAATAATATTATCTGTAATCATTTGCCTCGTCATCATCATGACGACAACAATAATAATAATAATTATAATAATAATAATAATAATAACATAAGCGGGGATATTAACAACACTAACAATGATAACAAGTTCTGTGATATAACGAATCATACTAACGTCGACAGCTCGTACGAAAGTCTAAACAGACCTCAATTTACGGAGAGCAAATATTTAAAAGTGAACAACCACAAAAGATTAAAAATAGAGGAAGAGGTGAGTAGCAGCGGAGGCACGAAGAACATCAGAACAACTTCGATGGCAACTGGCCGACAGATCGCTACTTTGTCTTTCAAAAACGAAAAGATTAACAAAGTCCATAGCAACAACAACAGTAATAACATTAACAGTAATAACATTAACAGTAATAACATTAACAGTAATAACATTAACAGTAATAACAGTAACCACAACAATAAATATCTGCTGGTAAATGATAGCAGGTTATTAATTAATATTAATTATTAATATTAATTATTAATATTAATTAATAAAACTAATTAATATTAGCAATGATAATGTAGCCAATCATTTTTTCCACGAATTAATTTGAATAAATTAACATATATTTAATTAGATACAACTTTATAGCCGTGGTGACGAATGAAGATTTTCTTAAGAAGAACAATGAAACTATCTCAGCTCTAGATTTGATATGAGAATAATAATGATAAAACATTAAATCCTATTATTACTATTATTATTATAGTTATTATTATTATTATTGTAACAGTGATAACATTTTTGGCAGGAACTTTTTGTATGTATATATGTTTTTGCGTGTGCGGGTGCGCGTATTTGCACGTGTGTACGTGCGTGTGTGTGTGTGTGTGTGTGTGTGCTGTCATCATCACCATCATTATTACTTTGTCGTCGTCAAGGTAGCGATAATATCCTAGAATCTAGATGATGGTAATGGTGATACTTGGTGTAATTTGAAATCCACAATTGTCCTTTGTAACGGAATGGGTATGTTGTCATTGCAATGTAGTTACGATTGATTGTGTTTGCCTGTTATGCGCCATTAAGTATAATTTTGTTACTGAATATTTTTATCATTGTGTGACTCGTATGTTGTGAATGGCTTTGAAAAGTGCTTGTTCGTTCGTTTGGTTGTTTATATGTGTGTATGTATGCACTATCGGATGTGTGTATGTCTCTTGTTTTTGATTTATTTACCAGCTGATTATTTTGTCGTTTCGATTGATTGATTATATGGCTGATTGATTGATTGGCTGGTTGTTTATGCTTAATTTTTTATAACACAATTGAATGAATGAAGTTTACTTACTTTAAATATCGAAATAATAACATACAGAGGTAATTACTACAGATCATCATCTATTATCTTGTTATCATGATCATCATTCAGACATAATCACATGATCATCGTCCTTATCATCATCTTCTTAACTATACGACGTTAATCGAAGTCAATTCGTTCTGTGATAGCTACAATTAATTTAGGTACGTATGTACATACTCGCGCGTTCGTATTGCATGCATGTATACAAATGAATGAATGCCATAAGGTATGAATGTTTTAGGAACATGTACGTATGTGTGAGTGTATATATATGTATATACGCGTTTGTATTTGAATGCCTCTGTGTATATATACCTTCCCGACCATTCAAGAGCAGAGAGTATTAAAGATGGTCAGATCTATCTTTAGATTAGTGTTGCTTAGTGTCGTTCTGTTGTCATGGCTTAAACAATCGTTAAACGTCATACATGTATATATATATATATATTAGTTTTCTTGTATTTAGAATTATGCTACTTTGATTAAAAAACTTTTTTTACTTAATTTACATAGCGCTAATTATCGGTATTTTGTATCTTTATATGCGTGTATATATGCTTATGTACGAATCTATGTGTATATCTATATGTATATACATGCATATGTACAAATATATGCATATATATATATATATATATGTGGTTGTCTCCATTCTTTATTTTTGTGTTTTGCCATCCGTTTTATTTCATTTTCCATTTAGAGCGCTGTTTCACTTCATTTGCATCTCACAACGTGGAATAAACTTTTTTTTCTATTGAAATGAAATGTTCTTGTTCATTAAACGCGACAGATCTACAAATTCGCTGGCATCCTAATTGAAAAAACAACCAAGTCAATGAGCATTCACAATGGTGTTTTCAGTTTTGATTCAATTCGACTAGAGACCACATAAATAAAGCGCCACTCAGATAAAATCAACAAACCCAATGATGATGTTTGGTCAATAAATTAGATAAAAGAGATTAATTACGTAATCGTCAGCACTAAAACAAACATTGCAATCATGCGCGTACGTTCAAAACCGCTTGTCCATGACGATGGAGGTTTGGCTTGATGAACTCTCAAAGTGTATTCAATGATGCACAATTTATTTTTTAAAACTAGTACCTACAGATATAAAAATTTTTGAATGAAAAAAAAAACAATTGGAGACATTGTCAGTAATAAAAGGATGCGATATAATGAACTGCCACATCAACTAAGCACGCATTCATTCACCCATTAGTATGTGGCGCCAAGAAGAAAGGAATGGTTCTGAATGCCATTCACTTCACAGCCAACAAAGTTCATTCAATTCTCATTTCAGGCATCCATCTGAGTGGAAGCTTGAGGCTGAGCTGATAAGGAAGATGACGAAGACAAAGGGTTTGATGGCTGTGAGTCCGTATTCTTAGTGACTGTCTGTGCCTGGCAATCTAATGATGAACTAACATTTATAAACAACCGCCTAATGTTGAATCACAGATCAAATGACATAAAACATGAACAGAGCAAGAAAATTAACTACCAATATTATTAGCAGCTGTCAAAGATGAAGTAGCTGATTCGCAAGAAACTGTCGAACTGGCAGCAGTGGTGGGTTTCTGCTCGTTAGCTAGTTGCTGTGCAGCCAGCTGCTTAGCTCTGAACTCAGCCGCTCTCAACTGCTCCATATGAAATTGTTGTCTCTCTTTCAACAGTTCCTGACGCTGATATTCGAGCTGCAAAAAACAAACGCCGACAATCAAAACATAACACGCATATTCAATATCAATTCAACTCATCTAATTTATCCATCAATGAATATGTAAAAGTTGCATTGTTATATATGCACATCATCTCAAGATTTCAATTCAACTGACCGCATCTCTTTCCTTGTCCATGATAGCCTCAAGCTCTTCAAAGTGTCTCAATTTGATCTCCAACTTTTTCATCTGCGTTTCAACAAGGAGAGCCACCAAACTTTTTATCTTTCGCTCCTCAACAGCTGCCAAATGCTGCACAAAAAAATATAATTCAAACTTCAAGCAAACATTTTTAAACAGGGCCAATATAATCTGAAACAATTAAACATAACCACTTATATTATTCGGATTACATAAAAAAAAAAATACATAACAAAACGCAATCACCTACCTTAGCTTTTACAGCAGCTGCAGCCAGAGCAGCAGCTGCAGCTGTATTCAAGTCACCTTCCACTCTTTTTTGACCTAATTTTTCTGAGTCTTTGTCCTTGACATTATTTTTCTCTTTGTTCAGCTCTGGATCTTGTTTGTCTTGTTCCTCGTTCTTCTTATCAACATCGCCACCTCCACTTGTGGTGGCACTTGTATCAGAAACCAACTTTGCACATTTTTCATCATCGGTTTCCATTTTTTCCACATCTTGATTATTATCTTCCTTTTTAAGAGTCATTGATTCCTTATCCTTGCCTTCGTTGGAGGCACCTTCAACTTTTTTGGAGTCTGTTGCATCTGTTGCGTCGTCTTTTTTTGCATTCTCATCATCAACATCCATCTTGTCTTCAGGCTTTTCCTTGTTTTCAGCATCTTTTTTAGTTGTGCTTTCATCGCCATCATCTTTTTGGCCATCGGAATCTAGAGTGAATCATAATATTATTATAGAATAAAAACAGATCAAGATAAATATTAAATGGAATTCATATCATACACTTGTAACCACAGCATGCACAAACAAACCAAGTATTCAATTACGAATAACTTCCAAAGAACAAACGTTGACTAAAGAGATTTATTATGAGAAGGTAAGGACAAAAATCACCTCCAGCAGTAGTAGCACTAGCAGCAGCAGCATTAGTAGCAGCAACTGCACCAGCAGCAGCTGGAACACTATCTTTCTCCACGACCTCAGGAACAGTGCCAGCAATCCCAGTCTTCTCCAGGCCAAAATTGGCATCCACCTGCACGCCCTCCTTGCGGGCCTCATCCAGATTTTTCAAGTGATTGTCAACCAGCCATGGAGGAACTTCTTCTTTGATTCTTGAAAACTCCTCTGGTGTTTCAATTAGTAAACTACGTTAGCAACCAGCAAACAAGTAGGGTAGAAATTAATTGTATGAAATGTAAAATATTAACCAAGAGCAGCCTTGGCAGCAGCTCCAGCAATCCTCGGATCGACGATACTCGCAAGAAATGCAACAGTGGACATGACGGGATTGCCCGACTGAGAAAATGGAACAGGTTGATAGGCGAGGGGTCCAAGGTGGCTTCCACCAGTGCCATCATCTTCTAAATATGGCGTCTCAATGGGTAGACGCAAAAAATGAAGAATGCACTCGTCCTGGGTTCGACTGCCAATGTGTTCGGCAACACGGTTCCAATCATCTCTGAACATTTCCAGTCCCTCTAACAACAGGAGAGTTTCCTGGTCGGTCCACTCGCGGTAGTTGTTGCCGCTCCGATGCATCTGTAAACCGCCTGCTGCCTGTTTGCTCTCCTGCTGTTGTCAGTGAGTGCAATGTGTACATGTGTGCGCGTTCCTCACACGAGTGAATGAGTGATAATTAATATTCACAATGGTTTTCAAAGTATATTTCAACCTACCAACCAATTTTTTGGCATACTGATCCATCTTCAGTCCAAACGTAGCCTCTTTCTTTACATCATCGCTATCTCTTTTATCTGATTTGTCCATGTCCAGCATCTGTTTGCTGGCCGACTGTACGTTTGTGAATGAATGAAAAAACAAATAAACAAGTGAATAAATAAATCCAAGCACACAGCATGCAGCCACTAACCTGTCCAGGTGGTGCTTTGGCAGGGACGAAGGGTTGAAGCCCCGAGGGAGCATCACTTAGGATGAGGAAGTGCGAGGTCGAAGGAGGACCCATGATGTTCGGCTTAATGTCCACATCCACCTGGTAATTTATCAGGCCCCACTGCTCCAGAAAGGCATGAACTCTGTGCAGGTGAACAAGGTGGAGATCAATGGAGGTGAGGAGAGAAGTATGCTAGTGGTGAGTAAATGATGATTAAGGGGACAAATGAATAATTAGATAAATAATGCTGCAACATTTGGCTGAATATGATGAATTAAGAGATGAAATAAGAAAATTTAAACATCAGCTGTAGTAGAAACAGTGAGTATCCTGACTATAAATTCACAAATACAATACTGCAAGATGTAATCCACCTGATGACGGCACAGACATCACCGGCCAGATTTCTGCGACATGCGGTGCTAGTGAGGTATTCCTGTGGGTTCAACCTGTACGTATCTATCATGAAGTTTCGGTAGGCCAGGTAGCTAAAATGAAGCGAATGTTATTTATTCATCAAACTTTTCATTTATTGCCAATTATAACTTTGAAAGAAAACGTTCATACGTATCTGAAACAGCTTCAAGTTGAACTAAAAAACAAAAAAACGAAGCAAATTAAAAAAGCGAACACTTCAGGTGTTTTAGATCGATTTTTGCCATTGAAGAACTCGGGCAGAGCTCTCCTTTCAATGGCATGTATGCTACTGTAATCAAACCATGCTGAGTAGCTCGGAATGATGATGTGATGTGTTTGTTCCGTTAGGTTGTTCTCGTCGTCATCGTGGGAGGCAGCATTGCCGTGATTCTCCGGTGGAGATGAAAGACCGGATGCCTTTGAATCAGCCATGCCCTGATGCAGATGAGGTTGTATGTTGTTTCATATAATTAATCCACATCAACATTTATAAAATGAGATTACCATAGTTACTAATTAGGTATATAATTAATATCAAAATGTTTTCAGCCATTTAATGTATAATAAATTGAATGACAGGCCACTGAAATAAAGAACTGCCATCTCAACCTCAAATTCCTCATCCAGATCAGTTAGAGTGTTTTTGGCACCGAGTCCAGCAGCCCCCCCAGTGACAGAGAGCAGGGACCTGGGGAGGTTGACGGCCTGGATGTTGGGCTCGGGTACGGGATCCTCAAAATCCCGCGACAGATCATCCTCATCCCCGACGGACGACCCTGCAACAGAAGAAGGGTTCAAAGTTCGACGCTTGCTGTTGGCTGACGTGTTGCGAGCTCTGTTGAGAATAATAAAAATGTATGCAAAATATAACTTTTAAAAGAATTTAATTTTATGAAATCAAGCGTGTATAAATATTGATGCACTGACAAAAAAAGAATGGACTGAAAAATAGGGATGTACCAACCCTTTCTTCTTCTTTCCAGGAACTGACTGTGAGGACGGAGAAGGAGATCGTCGCCTCTTGACCCGGTCCTTTTTATGCTTCTTCTCTTCATTTGCCAACTTAACCAACTATTTTTTGACAAAATGAGATTTGATATGAATATAGTTATAGTATATCAACATAACTTCAAGATAAATTTTCTTTTAGGTATGTTTACTTCAAAGATGCTTAAGATATACAAAACAGCTGATCTAAAAAATGGCAATAGCATTTTGAGATGCCACAAAAACTTAGATCTTAGAAAAAGCATGCATGCATGCATTCAAATCACGCATGCATTCAAATCAGGTCAGATGAAAAGCATTGCAAAACAACAATTTTTTAAAAACGAAATGTGCATTAATAAAATAAATGTACCACACCCACCTCTTCAGCAGTGTATTTAGACCGACTTTCAATTCGAGACTTCATTCGTGGATTCTCAGTCTGAAGTTGAAGTTTAGAATTAGGAATTTCATTATTAGTGTCATCATCAGATTCCTTTTAATCATCAGAGATAATAGCATTGACAAAACATCATTAGCATTATCTTCGGTATTATCATTATATAATTAGGTTATAATACACCATCTTCAAAAATCTTAACTATTAAAAATAAAACAAAACCAGAATATAATAATAATAAATAATAATAATTCCAATCATCCTCACTTCATCTTCAACAAGGTAATCATCTTCATTCATCCATTCATTGTACTCTTCCAGATCCAATAACCACAAAGCATTAACCTGGGTAAAGATTTATTTTAAAAATCATTTGATCAATCAATAAATCAACACATCCATCCATTCAATCATTTATTCATCCATTTAATCAATCAATCAATCGACTGACCAGCCAAGGACCATCTGGTTCGATGGATGAATCCACTTCTATGTCAACTTCGACATCGGGCAGCCAGGTATCATAACTATCAAAGAGAGAGAAAAAAATTTATAATCACTAATAACCTCACCAAAAACACTAAATAAATTATGGCCAGATAATAGTAAAAAATTATAGCAAAATAATAATACAGTATGAAAATGAAAAAAGTAATATTTTGTCTCCGCAAACCTATCTGGGGTATAATAGCAGTGGATCATCAGCCCCGTGTCTCGCTTCATAACTGGCCTGAATAGTTCTTCTGTGGGTGAAGAAATTATAGTTTCATTAATGTTATAATATTATAAATTATTGCTCATAAATAGAGAAAATATTTTAGATATTTTGTGATAGATAAAATATAAGGATGGAGATTCATAAAAAGTTGAAACAAAATTGGTGGGAAGGATAATTGAACAGCCATATAAGCTGAACTACATAAACAAACAAATCCATCATAAACAGCAGACAGACACAATTCCCCGACAATCCTTCCTAACCCTCACTCCTAGTAGCAGGTTGGGGATAGACGATGTGGGTGGCTTCGGATTGTTTCTCCACCACAGTTCCCAGATGTCTCTTGATGATATCCTTCAGTTTCACCATGAGTATCTTGTCGATTTCAGGTTTCAGATAGATGGCAGGCTGGATGATGATTCGATTTTGTATCAGAGTCTTCTGGGTCTGCATGAACATCTCCACATTCCTATCCATGCGAGATGGGTTTTGGAAATCAAACTTTCGCCTGGGGGTAATTAAAAAATTATTTTCATTGACATTCTCACTAAATATCGGAAATAAATTGATATAAAACAGTAAAGATCTGACAAAATTAATTGATTCAAATCTCTAATCAAAAAATAATGTGATGATAACATTTTGTGAGTGAAAAATGTATGCACTCAAGAAACATTTGAAAAAAATTATGAATAATTAAAGAGCTCATTAATTAATACTAAAACATAACATACCATCCTTGTTCAGCCTTGAACTTCAAAGTTTCAGTAAAGAGGTGACACAAAGAACCACTTGGCTTGAAGTCAAGGAAGCATTTAACCTTGATTTATCATAAAAATTAAAAACTTTTATTAAACAACGAATTGGTTGATTTATAATTATAAATATTATTTGATATAAAATTATTAGATTTTACCGGTAATCTAGTTAAGGCAGGCTTGCTGACATTTTTCCCAAATGCTTCTTCTTGGAACTGCAAGAACTCCACAATTATAGTTGCCAGGGTTTTGTTGTTGATTGGTTCATTTTGGATGTACTAAAATAAAACAAAATGTGAAGTGAATTAACATGGTAATATTTTATATATTTAAATTTTATTTATATAAAATTTATATTAATTTTATGTAAAAAAATTAAACATTTAAAAATTTTTAAAATGTTTAATTTTTATTTAATCTTAAATAAAACATTAATTATTAACGTAGCAAATTGAATTTTTGAATTATGAATAAATGAATTTTTTTTCAAATAAAACAAATTAAACAAAATAATAGACACTTCATAAAATGATTTTAATATTTTTAATGATTGAAAAAATTTTAAATTAAATCTAGAAGATTTTGTTCTGGGCACAAGCCAACACCAACTAGCAACACAACGCCAATGATCACATCAGAAATCATTAAAAAACAAGCGATCAAAAGAACAAAAATCAACCTTTTTGACATTTTTGAGTAGCCAAACCCTAACTGGTTCGAGGAGAGCCACAGTTTCCAAACTTTCAAAAAATTTCAGACTGGGACCGCCGTCCTTTTTTCTTTGTATCGATAGAGACATTTAGCCGAATTAAGAATTTTGTTTTCGCTTTGGTTCCGGTGAAACTAAAAGTAAACTGAGGATTTAAATTTAGGGATAGAATATAAACTATCTGGTGTATCACTTTATGTTCCGTTAATTATAAACACATACACACTTTCAAACACTACACAAACGTATGTCCTATATTAAAATAAAAGCATGGTTAATCTTCATGAAAGCGTTTAATTTTAATTCAGCTACTTTCAAGTCAATATTAAATTGTAATTTGTTTAGTTTTTGGTTTATATTTGTAAGTCACTTTGATGTTTACTTTATAAAATTCAAATTTAACTTTTATTATTTAAATCCAAATATATATATAGAATATATCATATACATAGGCAATTACGTAATTAACAGTCCGTATTCATCTACTGTCAAATACGTTGACGCTAATGACGTACCCATTAATGTCATTTGTAGGCCATGTATATATTTAAATCCGTGTTGTAGGCTTATACTCGGGAAAATTTTGATACTCATGTTGATACCGTCACAACAAACTGATACAAAAACTCACACAAACACAAATTATATCGAAAAATTTTCAAAACATAGGATGAAGTTAAAAAAAAATCAGCATGTACGTGTCACAAAAAAAGCAATTGAAAGCAGTGGCATAATGACCATCTTCACAGCCATTCATATAAAACGTCGGGCGGCCAGATTGTTGTACGAGTTTTGTAATTCTCCATTCAAATTATTGACGGAGTCCCATGGGATCCTGGTTAAATCCCTATCAGAGGCATTAATACAATATGTCGGTGGTGATGTGGTCAGGAAAAAATAGTTCCATAGAGCCAATTTTTGCCAATTGAGGAAAAAATTATTATTATCATTATTGTTGTTGTTATTGTTCTGAAAAATGTTTTTATTGAAAAAGTTGGCATTATTAAAATGGCTGAACGTAAATCTTGGTGAGATATAGGTAGGTATATTGATGTTGTTGTTGTTGGGTGCAAAGTAAACATTTGTGTTGTGGTGTTCGTTAAAATTGGGTCTCCTGCCGTTTAAAATTAACTCGTTCTCGCTCGATTCATCATTGTCGTTGGAGATGCCATTAACATTGACTGTTTTGTTGATGGAACTGTTGATGTAATTGTTGTTGGAACTGTTGTTGTTGTTGCTGCTGTTGTTAGCATTGATGTAACAGTCGACGTTGTTGTTGTTTTTGATGAATTTGTTGAAGAAGTTGTTCAAGTTGCATGCGTAGCCGGTGCCGTCTTTAACGTACTTCGTAGTATAATTGAGAAATTTATCCTCCAATGTGAATTGAACATCGGTATTTGTTGGAAATGGCAAGAAAGTGATGTCATTTCCTTCCACTCTAGCTGTCCTCGCATTGTATTTTTCGTCATCGTCGTCGTCATCATCATGTTTATTATTATGATTATTATTATTCTTTTTATTAGGATTACTGTCATTTTCATCACTATTACCATGATCGTTGTTATGATTTTCACTATTGTAATTATTATAAGTGTAATTATGATTGCAGTTGTTGTTATAGTAGTTCATATTTTTAATACCCATCGTGACGTCATCGTCTGCGACAGAGCGCAAACAATCGTCAGACGTCTTCGGAAGTTTCGTTTTTGACGACGTAATTGATGATGATGATGACGATGAGGAAGAGGAGAATGATGATGATGATGATAATGAAGATGATGATTGTGATACAGTTGATGTAAGGAATGATAGCGGTAAAGTCATCTGAGGCGTGGAGAGATGGGCAGATGACGGAAGCGAAGATTGTGACGTAGATGATGACGTCACAGATGCTGATATTAATGATGACGAAAATGATGTCGACGATGGCGGTGGTGGTGGGGGTGCTAAAATATGAGAGGCCACTTTTGCAGATTTGGAAAGGATTTTACGCCATTTTGCTCGTCTGTTCTGAAACCAGACCTAAAGTTACCCAATTTTTAATAATTTAAAAAATTATCAAACAATTTTACTGAAATACAAAATCAATTCTCACTAAAGCACTTTTAAAATGACTTCACCATTCAGCCTCACCTGTATTCTGGCCTCTGATAGCCCTACACTGGCGGCCAAACTTTCTCTGATGATGATATCTGGATACCTCGTTTTTGCGAACGTACGTTCTAATGAGAGCAGTTGTGAACCACTGAAAGTCGTTCTGTTGCGTCTCTGCAAAGATATTTAATTAGTTAATTAATTATTTTTGGTCTTTGGTCTAGCCCGGTAACATTTAGATGATCTCATCATTTGTTCATCGTGCATTATTTCAATCATTTTATTTTAATTTTGTGATATTAAAGGTGATTATCATAAAAATTTTTACTGGTTTGTGATATTCACATTTTGGTGACCGCGGTTCAGATATTTCATTCAAGTTAATTAAATTAAATAAAAGTAAATTTATTGCTTGAAAAACTTTAATAGCCGCTAAATACAAACCAAAAGTTTCAATTGCCTGTTAAAATTAAAGTTAAATCGATGCAAATTTATCAAACTTGTCTTTTGGACCGTGATGAATCCAGCAGATGTTCATAATCATCCTCCATTCATCCAGTTCTTGACTTGCCAACGGACGAACTCTGACGTATAAATCTAAATTAAATGTTATATCATTGCACCTCTGATGAGAAATCTCATCTTTTTATAGCAGACAGAGCCATTCCCAGATCAATTATCAAATTAAAATTTGAAAAAAAATCGAATACGGCAATCTTAATTCGCAATAATTCAAAATTAAAACGTTCCGATTGGCTAAGCTTCATCCAATAAGATGACGTTTTTGAACGGAGAGCCAATAGTAGTGGTGCTTTTATTTCGTTTGAAATATCTTGTTAGAAACGATTTTTTACAATGACACAATGTACACCAGCAATATTTTCTGATGGTTTGAAGGTGACGTGACTTCGAAATGAAAGATGTCATGCTATTTATCGGGGCGATGTTTTTGATGATAATTATATTATCATTAGCAACGTAGAACCAATGGTGAAAATATTGTAATGATACAATGATAACATGATGATGATTATAATCATGATCATCATCATCGTCATCATCGTCATCATCGCAAATACACTCGGAATGATTAATTTAGCAATGATGTTAATTGAAATTTATTAATTGCGATCACCTACCCGTCTTCAAACTCATTCATCACTTGCCATCATCATCATCATCATCACCATCATCATCATCATCTTCAAATGACGTCACCGCCATCATCTCGACGTCAACGTTTTTCAGATTTCAAAGACTTCAATTATCATTAATTTTTTTTCAAATTTATTAAATATTTGATAAATTTGTTTGTCTCAATCAAGCTCAACACTCACATAGAATCAAATATTTGATAAATTTGTTTGTCTCAATCGAGCTCAACACTCACATAGAATCAAATAGATGGTTACATTCACGTCTGGCCGCATTCGAACCAGGTAACGTCGAAACAGCGAATGTTATAACGCTCTTACTTTTTGAGCTATCATATCAGCGGTAAGTTATTATTACCTCGTTGAGTTTTGCTGTTTTCAATTTCTTACTTGAATATCATCAAATTCACTCCTCATATTTTTAATCATTCAAAAATTTATTATTAAAAGTCAATCATCGCTATCACCATTGTCGCCAACATCATCACCATCACCACCATCTTCATCATCATCATCACCATCATCAACATCATCATCTTCATCATCACAAACGTCATCATCACCGCCTTCTTTAAGAAAATTGTTATAATCCATTATTTCAATTGGACTGAACATATTGACGACGTCTCCTATTGACATGAAAGGAAATGTATAAACAGCATACATACAAACATACATACAAACATACATACATACATACATACATACATACATACATACATACATACATACATACATACATACATACATACATACATACATACACACACACACACACGTTCATACATACATACATACATACATACATACATACATACATACATACATACATACATACATACATACATACATACATACATACATACATACATACATACATACATACATACATACATACATACATACATACATACATACATACATACATACATACATACATACATACATACATACACACACACACACATACATACATACATACATACATACATACATACATACATACATACATACATACATACATACATACATACATACATACATACATACATACATACATGCATATGGTCGTTAATTAATGAATTAATTGTTTGATCTTATTAATATAATAATGGAAAGAGAGAAAGATTGATGGATGAATGGAAGATGCGAATGTGATGTAAATTGAAATTAATATTTAATATTATTGTTGTTGTTTTTATTATACGTATTGCTATTGTATATATATATATTATCTTTATATATATACAATCAGGCTTATGACATGCGCATGTTTTGAGTGTAATATCCCTGCATTTAAACCCGGGAACTTCATCGCAAGAGACACCTTATCTACCGCTAGTCCACGTAAATAAAAACAAAAGTTTTATTTATTAATTTTTTCCTTTACTATCATAAAAAACAACAATCAAAAAGATCAGCAAGTTATCAGAGTGTATGTTAAAATCACACTTATACATGAAATATGTATGTATGGATGTAAATATGTTTGTATACATGTCTGTCTGTATGTATGTATATATGTATGTATACATGTCTGTCTGTATGTATGTATATATGTATGTATACATGTATGTATGTATGTATAAAAAATTCTCAGAAGCGCTTATAGTTATTGCTGTACAACGCGTGGAACTTTATTAAAGCCATGCAGTGAATGGAAAGAAAAAGGCCCTTTAACTTCCTGACACTCTCGTGAAACAGGGCCACATCCAGAGATTGGTTGGATGTCTCTTGTTGAACAAACAATTTGCCTCGCTTTGAAATCACTTCTTTTAAACTGAAAATTTTTTTAGGCGTGCCAGACAGTTCACATATAAACATATCACGATGTGAGTTATATCGACGAGCCAAGTAACACGCTAAGCCAAATCTGTGAGTGTTAAGTAATCGAAAGCCTTGCGGGCACACGAACTCGTCTGTTAACTATTTAAACTCGCATTCCTTTTTCTTCCTACATAATTATATCCAGTAAGACGCTTGTTGGCTGTATGTCCTATGTTCTTCATACCACTCGATCGTCTCTCACCTGCCAAACCCAAATCCTTCAAAAAGCTGTACACTAAACAACCAGCAACACCTCTTGCACCGACCTCAACTGCGTACAACAAACACCTTAACCCACATTGTTCTATCTCACTAACAAGCTCTTCATACTTGGCTGTTTTTATATCGTGACTTGCTGCTGTATTAGCCTCATAAGGTAGAGTCAGCTCGACTAAAATAAAAGTGTCTGCTGATACCGACTGTACCACAACGTCGGGTCTCGCTCCTGTATCCTTTATTAACAATGGGTGGTTCCTCATGCCCTCCAAATCTGCCATGACCTTCCAATCTATGTATGTATGTATGTATGTATGTATGTATGTATGTATGTATGTATGTATGTATGTATGTATGTATGTATGTATGTGCGTATGTATGTATGTTAAAACCAAATCATTGACGAATGACACCAAAAGCCAAGCGTCTGACTAAATTTGATTTTATTTGCTATAACGTCACTCAACCCCGTCGGCATTCAACTCCACATTTTCCAACACACAGACGCGCAAAAACCGCTGCAGATTGCACGAGATATTATTCATAGCGAAAAAAATATTCCCTACAATCGCCTACTATGTATGTATGTATGTATGTATGTATGTATGTATGTATGTATGTATGTATGTATGTATGTATGTATGTATGTATGTATGTGCGTGTATATGTATGTGTGTGTGCGTGTGTGTGTGCGCAAACACACGTGTGTGGAAATTATTATTAATTATATCTAAAAATTAATAATAAAATAATAAAAATATTAATAAAGAACATAACAAAAACACGGCCCTCTTTATATAAAAATAATAATATTATTATTATTGATCTATCATATTTTTAATTTAATATTGTTATTAATTTATAAAATACAGCAATATTAGCAAACTTGTTTTAATCACATGCAAAAATAACATATAGAATTTATATATATATATATATATATATATATATATATATATATAAAGAGAGAGGGAGAGAGAGATAGAGAGAGCGAGGGAGAGAAAAACTGATAAATAAATATCTATATATATATATATATATATATATATATATATATATTTTATTTATTCATATTTACTTATGTATGAAAATGAACTTTGCAATAATAAGTTAAATCTACATATTCACGTTTAAGAAAAGGGATTTAAAAACAAAGGTAAAAATTTTTGCTTGATATAAATAAATTTATAAATTAAAAAACTAATTGGAAATCAATTATTTTACTAAAGCTGAAAAATTTATTTATTTAATTTTTTTCTTTGGTTGTAAAATTTTTAATAATAAAAAATCAAACGATGATATCAAAGAGCACGCATTAATAATAATAATGATAACAACGACGACAATAGTAGCAACGAAAGCGGCAGCAGTGGCGATGACGAAGAGGATGATGGCTTTGACGGCGACGATGACGTAGATGGCGTTTTTGGTGACGATGACGTCATAATTGGGGTCATTTTTTCTGTTGATTCTATGCTGATCTTACTTGTGGTCACCGTTGTTTGTTCTGCTGAGGCGAGGTTTGATGAATGTTTATACAAATATGCTCTAGGATTAAAAAAAGCTCGAAACTTCATCAAAAAACATGACAAATTTTGTGAAAATAGAAGATCTTCAAAATAAATTAAGAATAAATAATGAGTTTTTTGCTGAATAAACATTATACAACAGGGGTGGGCAAACTACGGCTGGCGAAGCTATTTTATGCGGCTCGCGAAGCCTTGTTCGCCGAAAAAAGATCCTCAACCAGACCAGACATTATGACCAAAAAAAGAAACCACAAATTTTAAAAAATTCTCCCCCGGATGGAAAAAATTTGCTATTCAAGTATAAATGTGGCCCTTCAAAGGTAAAATAGTTCTCAATGCGGCCCTCACAGCAAAACGTTTGCCGACCCCTGTTATATAGCATTAGAGAAACTAATTGATATTATTCTAAAATGTGAATATGCAGCCATCTCAAAATAAAACTAAACCTGCTACTGTGGTTAAGTGGATAGTTTCATTTTTCCCATCTTCTCTATCCTCTTCATCGACTTTGCCATCAAAACTTTTTGTATCATTGGTGTAGGTGATGGTGGTGGTTTCGTTTTGTGGAATTTCTACGGGCTCGAATACTGGTAAATTAAAAATATTTTTCTATCGTTTCGTTTCGTTTATTTGTTTAAGAATTAAATTACAGTGTTAGTTTGTAATTATTATTTTTAGAACCGTCATTAAAGCTGCTTTAGAATTTAAGACTCCAGAAATTAATTAATTAGCTAATTAATTAATTAAGATTTCAATGATCTGATATGGATTTGAAAAAAGATGAAAAGATGAACGAACGAATGAAAGAATGAATGAATGAGTGAATGAATGAATGAATGAGTGAATAAATGAATGAATGAATGAGTGAGTGAGTGAATGAATGAATGAATGAATGAGTGAATGAATGAATGAATATCAGCCTACCGTCAGGCCAAGGAATAATTTTCTTTAACTCCGTACAAAAATAAGTTCTGAATTTTAAAATAAGTGTAACTTAGCTTTTTATAAAAATCATAAAATTATAATTACTACTACTACTACTACTACTACTACTACTACTATTACTATTACTACAACAACAAAAACAACAACTACTGCTACTACTTCTACTATTACTGCAACTGCTGCTAATACTACTACTACTACTACCAATACTACTACTAATAATAACTACAATAATAAACTAACAAATAAATGATAATAATAAAAAGAATAATAATAATAATAATGCCTACCTGTCTTCAGCAGCTACACGTTCGTTTCCACGGTACAATAAAACTGTTTCGTTGTTGTACCAGAAGTTAGGGTAGGGGTTGCTATGTGGGTTATCGTAAAGAGAATGATGATGATGAAGATGGTGAAGAAGGAGAAGATGAAAAAGATGATGTGGATGAAGATGAAAAAGAAGATGAAAAAGAAGATGAGGAAGAAGAAAATGAAGAAGAAGATAAAGTAGAAGGAGATGAAGAAGAAGATGAAGAAGGAGAAGAAGATGAAGTAGAAAAAGAAGATGATGATAATGGTGATGTTGATGATGAAGATGGTGGTAATGGTGAAAAAATAATTACATGAAAATCTTAAAAATAGTGAAAGAATTTTATTATGAAATACACGTAAATGAATACAACTTCAAACGTTTAAGAAACGAAACGAACGTTTGAACGACAACATCAACTAGAAAAACAACAATATAAACTATATAAAAAAAACTATAGACAAACCAGACCAACCCTGTCTTAACAAAATCTCCACAAAACTTCATAAATTTGTCTGCCAGTGCCATAAATGAGCCAGGGTAAGAAGTGGGGTCACTGTCGTAGAAGTAGCCGAAGAGGGCGTTGAGGTCGAGCCCTCTAGGCGTTCCACACCACAGGGGCCATTTTAAAGCTCTGTTTTTGAGGTTTGGTTAAGTGGTTGGTTGGTTAGTTGATTAGGTAGTTGGTTGGTTGGCTGGTTGGTTGTGTGGTTTGAATCATATGAATAAATATTACTTCTGTTGTTTATGTTTTGCAGTTTTTTATATGTTGTTTATTTGTTTCTGAGTGTGTGAGAAAGTTAGAGAGTGTGTATGTGTATGTATGTGTGTGTGTGAAAAACTTTGTGCGTGTATGCATATGTATGTGTGTGTGTTTGTGTTTTTAGCATTGCCAGTTTAAACAAAATTGTAAAACCCAAGTGAATAAATAAAAATGATGCTCATCTTAAACTGAACCAGGCAAAACCAGCGAATGAACTAACATATGCGAGAATTCGTAGCTGAACATGTGAACTTGTTGGCGTCGCAGAGCTTCAATAAACTGGTTGATTGGACATTTGTACCTATAGTCTGAGAGGTAATTGCCAAAAATTTGATTTATCTTCATCGGGCTTCCTTCCTTATACAGCATCCCAATTGTCTTCAAATACTCCGGTCTGTCTATGATCCTGGCGATCCCAGATACGTTGGCGTATTGTTCGGGATTGTGGCCTATTTCAAACATTCCGGATACTAAGTCGTAGGAGCCTGAATGACGTCATTGTTGGTTGGGTGGTTGTTAGTGTAATGTGGAAGTTTACCGTTTTGGGAATTGTGCGGAGAGATATGGCGGAAAAAATTTATGTAGAAGATAGCGGTAGCAGTTGAGATAGTGATGGAGTACAAGACTAATGAATATTACAGTGTGAAAAGTAAGAATTATCAACTTATATTCATGAATATATATTTTTATCTACAACATCTACCAAATTTGTATTTCACAAAGACACGAATATTTGATTGGTTACATATTCAATTATATCAGGTACAATATCTTTGGCATATTTTTTTGCACGAATAAAATCTCATTTAGAAAACAATACGCGTTTAAAAATTTCGTCGCTAGCAACTTTGGCGGTGATACGTACTACAAATGTAAAATTGGTGAAGTGTAACAGTTAATATTGCAGGGGGTCCCTTCATTTCGTATATAAACTGTGCGAATAAAGAGTTACAAAAAATTGGAACCTATATCTCTGGGCCAGCCAATCAGGACGTTCCTCCCCTTCAAATGTTCAGCCTGATGCAACAACTTCCACGGGTCATCTGTGATGGTGTCTTTGTCAATGAGAGGCATGAAGTAAGCCCACCAAGGTATTTTCGATTTCAACTTTGCCGTTTCAAATGGCTCCGTAAAGTTGTCCTTCTTAATGATTTCATCAATCGCTTGGCAGGTTTCATATTCGAAGTTCAGTTTTGTAGTAGTAGTTGTTGTAGTTGTAGTTGTAGGAACGGTAGTAGTGGTAGTTGTCGTGGTAGAAGTGGTGGTGGCGGCGGTGGTGGTTGTAGTTCTTGTCGTCGATGTAGTTGTAGTTGGTCTAGTTGTCGTTGTTGTTCTTCTATAAGGTATAGCGTAGGCGACTTTCACGGTAGTTGTTTTGAAAAATGACGTTGTAGGAGTAGTAGTTGTAGTAGTGGTAATCCTGAAAAAACGCCATATAGTAGTGGTAGTAGTGGTGGTGGTAGTAGTGGTAGTGGTAGTAGTGGTGGTGGTAGTAGTGGTACGGGTTGTTTTGGTTGTAGTTGTCGTTTTTGTAGTTGTGGTAGTGGTAATAAAGCGGTATGGAGTATAACGAAAACGACTAAAGGTAGTGGCAGAGCGCTTGCTCCGAACTTCACTGCAGTTACTTGCCACACAATTTGAATCATTTTTGATAGTTTCCTGACTAGCAATTGTAATATTAAGGTTATTTTCAGTACTATTTTGCACCAGAGAACTATTACTGATGACTTCATCCACGTCTGTAGTGTTGTTTAGCAATGAGGTTCTGTTGTCCAGTCTGGCGGAACAGTTGAGAACTTTCCGGTGTATCAAGTGGTATCGAATATTTGTCCACTCTGATACTTCGTAGTCGTACAGCCAGAGAGCGTTCGGAACTGCATTCAGGATGAAGGTCGAATTGAAGAGATCGTGATAAGTTGGAGAGAGAAGTAGGTAGCCTATGCATAGAGCGCTGAACCTAATAGAGGAAAGAAAATTTATGAAGGATGATTAAACTATGGTTAAAGATTTAATGACTAATCAGCTAACTAATAAATTTTCACGCAATTATTTAACCAATTATTTAAAATAAATTTTAAACATACCCTTCCCCGGCCAGTGTAATCCTATTCTTATCCCCTCCAAAATATCCAATGTTATCTCGAATCCACTTCAACGCCAGGATTTGATCCTTCAGTCCCGAGTTACTGTACTGCATGTTAAGGAAGCCGTCGGGACCGATCCGGTATTCTACACCGACTACGATGATATCCTGCGACGCTAGGTTTGAACCTATGGGGTTTGAAACGTTGGCGAAATTTTTCATCCTTTCAACTACAATCTCGTTAATTGTCACGGGTTTTACATTTTTTTTTTCAATTGTTTAACACATCATTCAAAATATATAAAAAAAATTACATGACAATTGTATTGTTGCAATAACACACGTAACTCTGTAACAAATATATTGCCATGAAGTTAAAACATTTCTAAATGAATTTTTATGGGATTGGTGAAGTAAAATAACTGAAATAAAATAACTAAAAGTACTGAACAACCATCGTATAGACGATCGGTTGGCTTAGTGTAGATATCATTCATTGAGATGGTGTAACCGTACAACCAGACCAGCACCGCTTTTTTAGGTGGCTTGAATTCGTCGTCGTTCGTAGTGGTGCCGCTGGTGGTGGCAGTGGTGGTATTGTTGGTGGTGCTATTGTTGTTAGTAACGTTCATGTTTGTGGCCGTTGCCGTTATAGCAGTTGTTGTGAGAGTTGATATCATGGATGAATTGGTTGAGTTGAAAATGAGTTCAAAATATGTGAAGTTGAGTGAACTAGTTGTTGAGTTGATGGAAACAGTAGTAGTTGCTGTAGTAGGCAAAGTTGTAGTAGTTGTAGTAGTAGTGGTTGTTGTGGTCGTTGTGGTCGGTGTTGGTCTCGATACGTCTTTTGGTTTCCAAATATGCAAGAACAAACAATCACTCGCTTCCATGTGTAAGGAGTAAGACGAAGATGACGATGCTGTTGATGATGCTGCTGATTTTTTCGGTGGATTTGTGACGTCATAGCAGTGCATTCTAATTGACTGTTCAAGGTTGACAATGACGTCATTGTTTTCAACGGTGATATTAGAGTAACTGCTGATTACATCTTCATGCCGGATAGGAATGGCTTCGGCAAATCGATCGATAACTCGACCGTACCGAATATTCAAGAACTTTTGTACCAGATTCGTACCCTTGTTTGGGTACACCTCAATACCCCTGTACGTGGCATGGGGCGTCCGCACCTCCACAACTTTGTTGGCCGTCGCTGGTGACGTTGAAAGAATGTTGAAGACGACGACGACGACGATGATGAGAGAGACATTGTTGATGGCTGGGGAGAGTTGCGGTTGAAAGGCGTGTTTAGATTTTTCACGTTGGCAATGAGGATGGCGATGACGACGACGATGATGATGAACGAGGGAGTGGAAATGATTTTGTTTTTGCTGGTACGATTCCAAGCAAAGCTTCATCATCTTCACTTTATGTAATGTTCCTTTCGGTTGTTTACATGAAATGTTTTTCTCGTTAAAGATATGCTGCGTTTTAAACCACGAATTTGAAGTTTCCGAAGATGTTGATGTCATTTTTTGTTGTTGAGGTTGTTGATGTCAGCGTCTGTTAATAACATTGCTGTTAGTGATAACGAGTTGGCGCTATATAAATGTTGTTTTCGTTGTTGTTGAAATTAGAAATGTTGTTTGTGTTTTGGATAACGTTTGAGCCGGCTTAATTCATCCAAGACATAGGCAATCACAAAACTCCAAAAAACAAATTTAATTCCGCAAAATATTAATCATAATATTTCAAAAAATAATAATTATCACTAATCACTAATATTTTTATTATTTCAACAAAAATATAAACTCCTTAGTACTTAAAGAATTACAGAGGGAACTACATTAATAAACATCTACATTCTAACATTCAATCTTACGTGCTATACTAAAATATGTATGTAGTAGATTAGCATCATCATCAATTGTATACATGGTTTTGCCTTGTATATTTTTATATGTTTATCTTTGTATGCATATGTATACATTTGTATGTGTATGAATATGTACATGTGTATATATACACAAAACCATATTAGTATAATTATATATATGTTGTATTTCAGAAGTATGGTATAGATTTCATTTTATTTTATGTTTTTTGCTGTTTCTGTATATTTTTGATGGTTAAAATAGGCTACGCTTCTGGTCTTAATAAAAAAAAACTACAATGTTTGTGTACATGTGTGTGTGTGTGTGTTGTGTGTACATGTATATGTGCGTGCGTGTGTAAGTGTGTTTGCTGTGCATGTGCGTGTGAGCTCCTAAAATGTATTTCTATTTAAGCGTATCTGAACTATAGCATTTAGAGTGAAGATGGTTGCGATGGTAATGATGTTTTGTTTTTGGTTGATGATGACGATGACGATGAGGATGATGACGATGATGATGATGATGGTGCTTTTGTTGATAACGATGGCAATGATGATGGTGAAAGGTGATAACAATTTAAGGATAATAAAATATTTAGTGAAGGTCTAAAACTTATACTTAAAACTGTATATATATAGTAGCAATAGTAGCAGCTGTGGAAGTAGCAGCAGCAGCAGCAGCAGCAGTAGTAATAGTAGTAATGGTAGTAGTAGTAGTAGCAGCAGCAGTATTGATACGAGTATTAGTAGCACAATAACAAACAAGCCATCATTCATCTATACAAATACACAGATAAAAAATTCATGTTTGTTTACAACATTGTTACTATCCGCAAAGAAAAATGATTACAAACAATTTTTTTTTATAACCAAATAAGTTGTTTTATTTAGCGCTGAATTAAGATAGGGGTAAATAAGATATACCTATCTATCATTATCATCACTGCCGTCGTCGTCATCATCCACATCATCATCATCATCATTCACATCATCATCATCATCATCATCCACATCATCATCCACATCATCATCATCATCATTCACATCATCATCATCATCATCATCATCATCATCATTATCATCATCATCGTCATCATGTTTAACCTGTTAAATTCCATATAAGCTTAACAGCGAAGGCAATAACAACCTCCTAGAATATTCTATCATCATCATCTTCATCGTCGTCGTCGTCATCATCATCGTCATCATCATCATTATCATCTTTGTCGTCATCGTCATCATCGTCATCATTGTATGCGACATTACCACCAAAAATTATCAGCCTCATTATCGTTTCTATCTACTGCTACTGGTACTGCCGCTGCTACTACAACAACAACAACAACTACTACTACTACTACTACGACTACTCCTACTACTACTACTAGTGTTACTACTACTACTAAAAATAACAATAATATTAATAATAATAATTATTATTATTATTATTATTATTACAAATTTATGGATAAATTAAAACTATATCAAAGTAGGATGATGGCTGATGTAGACGAAAAACGTGGATAAATTCTCTAATAATAATAATAATAATAATAATAATAATAATAATAATAATGTGGCAGTTGTCGTCATCATCATCATCATCATCATCATCATCATCATCATCATCATCATCATCATCCACATCATCATCATCATCATCATCATCATCATCATCATCATCATCATCATCATCATCATCCACATCATCATCATCATCATCATCCACATCATCATCATCATCATCATCATCGTCATCATCCACATCATCATCATCCACATCATCATCATCATCATCATCATCATCATCATAATTATCACTTTCATCGTCGTCGTCATCGTCGTCATCATTCTTAGTTTTGCATATCCTTCTGTCTGCTTAATTGAAAAGAGGTTTATATAGGCTACTTGCGTCATCATCTTCAATATAATCATTATTATTATTATTACTATTGTTGTTGTTGTTGTTATTATTATAGTTGTTATTTTGGTTATTATTATTATTGTTGTTGTTGTTTTGGTTATTATTAATATTGTTGTTGTTGTTGTTGCTTCTGACGCTAATGAAACAGAGCCTGTTTTACAGCAAATGCTTCATTACAATATGAGATACGTGGATACCATTTAGATTGTATCGAAAAGAATCTCTTACACACACACACACACCACACACCACACACACACACACACCACACACATACACACACACATACATCCACACAGACATACAAACACATACTAACATAAACACAAAACCCATGCTAAAACTATAAAAACATGAAAACAAAAGGCGTGTAGACAAAAAATTATTATTCAAATAATAACATGTATATAGATGTATGTTTGTAGTGTATGTATGTATGTATGTATGTATGTATGTATGTATGTATGTATGTATGTATGTATGTATGTATGTATGTATGTATGTATGTATGTATGTATGTATGTATGTATGTATGTGCGTGTATATGTATGTGTGTATGTATGTATGTATGATAGTTCGCTAGTATGTTTATTATTTTATGTACTACCAAGGTGATGCAATTGATTTTATCTCGTTACTACTGCTTCTACTACTTAGATAAACTTAATGCACGAGTGAGCTAACATAACAAATGCATCAGCATATCTGGTAGATATGCTGATGTTTTTGTTGGCATTACTGGCTGATAGCTAGTAAAATATTCACACATACACTCACACACACACTCAGACAAACACACACACACACATACAAACACAAACACACTGACAAACAAACACATACAATCAAACACACACACAAACATCCAATCAGACATTTTTTTTTAAAACTTATATCACCAAATCCAAAACCAAAGCAGTTGATAAATAATAAAGCCAGGAATACCATTCACAAATCATTTTGTACTTTATCTACAATAAAAGTCTAACAAAAATATTAATAATAACTAATAATAATAATAATAGCAATAATAATAATAATAATAATAACAATAATATAATAATAATAGCACAGATGTGTATGCAATCGAAAAATCGATGAAATCACACGCAACTAACACGACTTAGTTACTCGTAGCGTAATATTATTTTAAGAAATCACTTCAATCACTTTAATCTTTCTTAATCATTTAAATGATAATTTAATTATTGTCTTAATCATTTTCTAATCATTATTATCAATTTTTTCATCGTTTGATTTATAATATTTGTTACTTTTTAGTGCGTTTCATCATTTGTTGTTTGAGATATTTCGTTCTGTAATTTTCCGCCTCAAGTTTAAAAATAATAATTTTTCTAGAGTTTTATTTTTTTAGTAATTATTATTAATATTATTATAACTATTCATTGTTATATAACATTTATATTTTGATTATTAATTATTTTATTTTATTTGTTTAATCTTTTATCTTTCCCAAAAATGTCTGGATTAATGACGAAAGGTTTCTATTATGTGTGTGTGTGCGTGTGTGTATGAGTGTATGTGTGTGTGTGTGTGTACTCATTGCTTAAAATTTGTATGTATGAATTTTCAATTATTTTAATTACGAATAAGAAGAATATTTGTGGTAAAAACTAAAGATTTGATGTTAATCATTTTATTAAGATAAAATTTTAATTTTGACTTTGTTGGTAGGTAATATTGGTAGATTGGCACTCGTACACACAAGCAAACATAACACACATGATGTACATACAAACACACACACACACATGCAAACGAACAAACATACACACACAAACATACAGACATTTTCAACCACACAGTTTTCATTTTTATAATATGTTTCGTCCTAACTGCGGCTGAACAGTCTGAGGTACCATCCGTTGTAAATGCATTATTGCCAGCAAATGCAACAGATAAGACAGAAGTTCGTAATGTTTATGAAGGTTACAGTTTAGTATTTTTTATTTAATTTATTACTAGCATTAACCAACCAATCATAAACAACCAACCAACCAATCAACCATCCAATCAGACGCCGACGTCCCAGCAACTGTCGTCACGTGTGGCTGCTTCAAAGAGGATTACTTCTACTTTGCCATCTTGTTCATTTTTCTGAGTGTCGTCCTGACCCTGGCGATCATCTGTTTAATTTCTGCCTGGGTGTACAGCTCTGGTGAGCGAAAGAGAAATGATGAAGCGGGACTGCAAGACAGAAACGTCGTGATTGATGTCCGTGGTGGCGATGGTATCGACTACCACTACGATGACGCCGAGAAAGGTAAAACGATTGAAAAAGATGTTGCCAAGAAGAAAGTAAATAATGGCAGTGATGATGGGGGTGATGATAATAAGAGCACCAGAGTGAGTGCTTTTAAAGATGGCGATGATGAGAAAAAGATGAAAGATGAAGACGATGAGAAGAAGAATTGACGATGATGATGTGATGATGGTGATGATTGAAATGGTGTGATGATTGTAGTGGTTATGTGGTTAATTAAGCTGGTTGTGACGATGGCTGCACGGATGATAATGATGATAAAGATGGGGGTGATGATGGTGCAAATAAAAAATGATGAAGTTAACGATGATGTCTTTTCATATTTAAGAATTTTCATCTATCTTGGTTACTTGATTTTTTTGTTTCTAATTAAGACCAATTATTACAATTCACTTGATATTTTGACAGCATTATTTATTGTAAATAAATTTGTATATTTAAAACACATTCATCTTTCTAACATATTTTTTTTTACAAAACATTTGATCGTATGGATGATTATTATAACGCTAATGTCATACAAATCTCAAAGTAATTATTTAAAGGCGAAATAAACGTTAAAGACCAATTACCTTTTTTAGTCATTTTTTTTTAAAATTTACCCAACACATATATATATATACACACATAAGAATACACTTATACATAATATATTTATACTCATACATTAGATATTTATACCTGAAAACACCATTTCAAATCAGAAAACTGACACACAATTCTCTGATACGCGAACTATGTGGGTAAAAAAACCACCAAATATTTCCAGTTTTTGTCACTGCCGTGTCAAATTTTGGCACCCTTCCATAAAAATTGTCTAGGTCCGTCTTCTCAACAACTTATTCAATGTTAATTTTCCATAAACATTTTATTGAAAACATAAATAAACAATCATTTCTAACTTATTTTAGTTAATTGAAGAAAATTTTTAAACTAATAAGTGCTTTCTTATGTTTGAATTGGTGCTATTCAACGGTTTTAAAAATCATCATCGACTTAAACCATCACCATCATCACTATCATAATCCTCACCATCATCACCATCATAATTATCATCATCAGCGTCATCAGTTTCATCATCATCGTCGTCGTCTTCATCGTCTTTTGTTCATATTATTCGTAATACATGAGCATTATATTTAAGATGTGTAAAGTTCGTTAGCAAAATTTACAAGCAGTTTCCGGTAAATTGCAGTACACTTAGTAATAACGAACGGACACAATAATAATAATAAGAAGAAAAAATAAATTACTACTACTACTACGCATATTACTGATTCTACTACTACTACTACTACTACTACTACTACTAATACTACTACTGCTACTATTACTAATACTACTACCACTACTACTACTACTACTACTACTACTACTACTACTAATACTACTACTGCTACTATTACTAATACTACTACCACTACTACTACTACTACTACTACTACTACTACTACTAATACTACTACTGCTACTATTACTAATACTACTACCACTACTACTACTACTACTACTATACTACTACTACTACTACTACTACTACTACTACTACTACTACTACTACTACTACTACTACTAATACTACTACTGCTACTACTACTAATACTACTACCACTACCACTACTAGATGCATTACTACTACTATTACTAAATAAAAACGGTTTTTTTTCAAAATTGTTGTTTAAAAGTAAAACATCCAGGTAAACGCCATGAAGTTGGTACTGGTGGATTTTCCAGCACTTAGGGGAACGCGATCATTCGATAATAATGCACCTCTTTCTCTCTCTCTCTCTCTCTCTCTCTTTCTCTTTCTCTTTCTCTCTCTCTCTCTCTCTCTCTCTCCCTCTATTTCTGGCTCCCACGTTGTCAATAACAACATGGAAGGCAGGAAAAAGCCAAACAACAATCAAAAAATAATAACAAAAATAATATTGAATCAAAAACAAAATGATAACAATAATAACATTTATAAAATATTCTTAACAAATGGTAAGCAATTAGGAGCTTTGATTTAACGATAATAACGATAATAACATAACACACCTTGCTGTATGTTATGATGGAAAAATAACACTTAAGCTAGAACATATAGTACAAAATTTTACAAACATTTAACCTCAACTATAACACAACGATGTTGAATATATAACAATATACAACAATATAACATAACAATTCATAACAATGAAGACATTTACGAAAATAACTTCAACATCAAAATCAACAGTAAATCGAAGAGAAGAAAAATCAAAAAATTGCAAAACTAAAACCAACAACAGCATCATCACCAATGACAACAACAACAACAACACAAACGCAACAACAACACAAACGTGCGCTTTAGGTAGAATTTTTTCAGGCATTCATTACCTATTGATGACGCATATGTGCAGCTCAACAAAGCGTAACAATACCAGGCTACTCATTCTATGTATGTATGTGTACGTACGTATGTGTATGTATGGTCTGTGTGTGTGTGCGTGTGTTTGTGTGTTTGAGCTCGTGTGTTTGTGTATACATGCATGAATGTACGTTAAAGTGAATACAAATTTTACGACAAAAATATACTGTATACCTACCGTAGCATATCAACATGTGTATAAATGCATGTTAATGATTTAAGTGTCTCTATACTACATATATGAATAAATAAACACACACATACCCACACACACACACACACACACGTACACACACGCACATACACACACACACACACGCAGAATTATGATAAAGAGTGAAAGGCGTTATAAAAACATACGAAGAAATTACATATTAACCAGTTGTTAACTTAGCACAATACCCGTTCTTAAACAACGTCACGGGTATGTGTATTTAAATAATTGTATTGCTACTACTGTTGCTGCCATGTTCAGTAAAGTTATTTTATTGGGTGGATTAGATTAGGAATGATGTTGTCGATCAATTTGCTAATTAATTAACTAATCAACTGAATGACTGGTGATTAATTTAATTGATTGATTTGATAGATAGTCAGATTAAAAATTATTATTTGATTAAAGTTCATGGGTTAATAGTTCTATTTTGGCGGCTTTTAAGAAAAGTAATTTTTTCGGCAACGATACGAAATTTTCGAACCCACAGTTGCTCCACCTTTTTAAATTTATAAATTAATTTGTTGCTAAATTAATTATTTTTTAATTAATTAATTTATTTATTAACTATCCAATCAAAGCCGTTAAAATATCCCATTGATTATCCTTCAAGGGTGGATAACGCAAAATGTGGAATCGACAAATTAACGTTAGAATTATTTTAATACTACTACTACTACTATTGTTGCTACTACTACAATCACTACTACTACCACTACTACTTACTACTACTACTACTACTATTACTACTACTATTACTACTACTACTACTACTACTACTGCTGCTGCTACAACTACTACTATTACCATAACTACAACAACAACTACTACTACTACTTCTGCTGCTACTACTGTTACTGCTACCACTATTATTACTACTTATAAGAACATTGTTGTAACATGCACTGCTTGTTATAAAATCTTGAAATTTTTTCCTGAAAATATTTGTTAATGTAAATATTGTTTATGATTTCTCGATAAAATGATTCAAAAATACTTATAAATGTAAACATTAACAATTTTTTTCAGTTTGTTTGTTGGATGGTTTATCTACTGTTTAGAGGTGAGTTCTAGAGTTGAATGTTTCAGAATGTTTAATTTATTATTCATCGAGGTTTATATAAACAAAAAAAAAGTTGGTTGAGACGAGAAGCTTTTTTAATTTATTTCAATATATTTACGCATACATCTTGAATAACATATGACCAACTTTATAAAAACAAATGAACAAACAACACCAAACAACAAACAAACAAACAAAACCAAATTCAACCCACAGTTGCTGGAATATCCGCTAAAACATCATTACCTCCAACTCTAACGGTATCTCTTCAGCCAGCCGGCCCAACACAAACACCATTTATACCGGCGGTCAGCACCACCCCAGGCTACCAAGTGGTCACTACCACACAGGGCCTACCAGCACCCAGCTACACGCCAGGCCCAGGAATCACCAGCACTTTCCAGTTTCAAACTTTCACACCAGTCCCCCCTCAACTGACCACAATATTTTTAGGCACGTTCCTACCTGGTTCAGCCCAAACCACAACGCCACCTTCCCCTACCGTCACTCCATTACCCTCTCCAACAAGTACCACATCCACTCAAACCATCCCTTCTTCTACTACTACTGCTCCAGCTGTAACATCATCTGCAACTTCTACCCCTTCTACCACTACTACTACTACGACTACTACTACTACCAAACCTACTGTGTCTTCAATAACACTTGCGACAAACCAAACAAACGCTTCCATCGCTACTACAACCACCACGGCAAGCCCTCTCATTGATTATCATTTATTTCTTGTCTATGCCAACCAATCAAACGCTCTCGCCAATGTTAATGAGACGAGTTCAAATGTCATCAGTGACGTCATCAACCAACTGGCCAGTAAGCTTCAAGTCTCCAATACGTCCATAGCAACAAAGACTGATTTGGTCATTACAAACGCAGGTGGTTTTTCGCGACAATGATGACGGTAGTGGTGATGATTATGATTATGACGTTGGCGATAATGATGATGATTATGATGACGATGATGATAAAGATGATGACGATGAGTGTGAAACCAGCAACTCATTAATATTCATATCGTTAGTTATTAATATTTAAAATTAATTATTCACAATCAGGCCAAGCTTTGAGGATAGTGAAGAGAGCAGTTGCAACAAGTCTGAGCTTAATTTAATTTATACCATTATTAAATTAAAACGTTTTTTTATCAAAAAATTATATTATAATTATTATTTATAATTATTTTTATGGTTTTTATTGTTATATATTTTTATTAGGATTATTTTATTGAGTATTTATCCATGCATTGGCTTGTCTACTTCTTCAATGTACATCAGGATGAAATTTGGTCTGCTTTTTGAACCAGACAAAAATTTAAATTGAAAAAAAATGAATTAAAAAAAACTTAAAAATTAATCAATTACGTTCATTTATTAAAATGTAATATAAATTTTATACCGACCGTCCAATCACAGATAACGACGTAACGATGCGTTTTGACGTCACATCGAATTTGACCAATCAGAACGGTGCTTACAGCACCGCTCTTTCCGGTTCGACGATTAAAGTTGGAGATGCATCCTTAACAAACCCTGCTGTTTATGTCACCACAGGTGAGAAAATATTTACAAATAATATTAACAAAATAGTAATAATAATAAAATAATAATTAATTAATTAATTGTTTTTATTTGCAATTTGTTTTAAATTGCTATTAAAGTTGAATTTTTTCATTCAGAATTTTTAAAAATTAAATAACCCGAAATACAAAAAAAAAATAAAATTCGTTAGATGGCGAACAGTGCATCAGCCAGCCGTGCCAAGCTGGTTACGTCTGCATGTATGGCTACAACGGCAGCACCTCCGGCTACAACAAACAATGTTTTGTGGACGCGAGAGCCGCTGTTAGCTCCACAGCCGCCCCCACAAACAAACTCCTCTACCTACTTTTCCTCCTCCTTCTCATTCCCATCGCCATCATCGTCGCCATCCTCGCTTACTGCTTCTGCTACAAAAATAAAACAAGAAAATCAAAGAATCACGTCGGCTTCACTTACGACCACCACAACGTCAGCTACGGCAACGACTACAACGACAACAAGAGCGATATTATAATTATGGGAGGCGCTGGTGGTGCCGACAATGGCGGCCCGCCGTCCTACAACTCAAAAAGCGGCAGGAGTGCTAGTGGGGTTTTCGAGAACGAGAATTATAAAGGATCGGATTATGGGAACGTGGGAAGGGGTGGGATTTATAACTCCGGAGCAAAGTCAGAGGCTGGTGGCAATGAAGATAGGTACGCTACTGGGAACGAAACCATGGGACTGTTTTGAAGGGTGGAAGATTGAATGAGTAAGTGAATGAGTGAATGAATGAATGAGTGAATGAATAAATGAATAGATGTGTGGATGAATTAATGAAAGATTAAATGAATGATTGAAATGATGAATGAAGGAGAGAATTTGTAAATAATTGATTGGTAGAAATAGTTTGTAAGCAGAAAGATCAGATTATGTTTGATAAATTGAGAAATAAAGTTCAAATAAATAATTTGAGTTAAAATAACTTGATAATAATTGAAAGACGAGTAAAAAATTAATGTCTGACTGAATGAATAAATGAACAAATAAATGAAAAAACAATTGTTTGAATGAATGGACGAACGAACGATCGAACGAACGATCGAACGAACGATCGAACGAACGAATGAATGAATGAATGAACAATTGAACCAACCAATTAACAATCATTTGATTTCGATCCCACTTGACAAATCCAGTAAAGCAGTGATTTTATTTCATTCATTTTTATAACCGTTTTCAATTTTTTCATTTAAATATCTTCATCCAGATCAGATCTTATAATGACATTTTAACGTAGAAACTAATAATAAATTGCAAATAAATAAATTAATGACCAAAGAACTCTTACACGTGCTAAAATATCTAATTTATGCTTCAGTTATATGTTTCTTGATAACTCAGCAGCCAGAGGACCAAATGTTAAAATTGACTTTTCTATGTTTAGTTAGAGACACTCTTGTTCGTCATCACGTCTGTCGCTGGTATTCAATCGGTGGTTTATTACTATTTTAATTATTATTATTTAATTATTATTATTATTATTCTATTATTATTAGTATCGTTTTATTGTTTTTGTTGTTTTTTATTGCAATTTTTTAACTTTATTACTACGCAGGAACCATTTCCATTTGACATATCCTACTGGTCTGATTGTACTTGAATTTTTTCTACATCTCACTTTCTCTCTTTTTCTCTCTCTTTCTCTATCTCTTTCTCTATCTCTTTCTTTTTCCTTCTCTCTCTCTATCTATTTTCTTCTCTTTCTCTCTTCTCCATCCTAGTTCTCACAATTTTGTTTTTACTTAATTATTTCCAATGTCTTCAACATTCCACATTTTTAATACGCATACGTAGAAGCCATTCATGTACGACGCAAAAAATATTTTTAACATTTATTAAGAAGATTTGCACTCCCATATAAATGCAAGCATACGTAGAGACACATTACAGACACGCGGACATACATACATAAAACACAGGCATACAAACACACACACACACACATACGAACAAACAAACAGATATACACACATATTTATATGAAGATGTACAATGTTTCAATTGTCTTTTTTCTATTTATGTGATAATTTTCATAATGTATTTTGAAAGAAAGTAATAAATGAATTTTCCTCTAACGTGATGATTTATCTTTAATCAATTAAAATTTACGTATTAACCAACACACACTCACACACGTACACGCACCACACACACACACACACAAACACTCACATACACAAGCAAACACACAAACACACACACGCAGCAAACACACATAGTGTTATTTTTTTCACATACAAAACAACAACATCAGAAACATGCCAAAATTTCCCGACAGCTTTTAAAAACTTAACATTTACTCTAGCAATATTTCGACTTACATAACCTGCTTGGCAGTTATTTATCATTAAAAACACTGTGCCACATCTGTGCCAACCGTTGCCTCCAATCTTTCATTCATTCCTTTATACATCTATCCATCCATCTATCCACCTATCTATTCATCAATCTATCCATCCATCTATCCACCTATCTATTCATCAATCTATCCATCCATCTATCCACCTATCTATTCATCAATCTATCCATCCATCTATCCACCTATCTATTCATAAATCTATCCATCCATCTATCCACCTATCTATTCATCAATCTATCTGTCCATCTATCCGTCTATAAAATTTTATACGAACAATTTATGTGCGTCATAACAATTTTTTATTAAAGCAATAAAATTTTAACAATCCATTTAATGATGGTTCGCTTTGAGTTTATGTATGAACGAGACAGAGAAAGACAGAAAAAAGAGACAGAGAGATAGATAGATAGAGAGAGAGAGAGAGAGAAAGAGAGAGAGAAAGAAGCTGTTGCGTGGGCGTAAATATTTACTGGAACGCGCCAATATGTCTTGCGGCTGAAAATTAATAGCGTTAATATTTGATAAGGCTAATTACGATAAAATAATCACAGGCCCGTTAAAAACAACAACACCTTCTTACCGTTTCGCATGGTTATTTTGTGGTTTTGGTTGTTGTTTTTTAGTAATTTTGCTACATTTAGTGCTTCTTTGTCCTATTTTTTTTAACTAATATTACTTCAACATTTGTTGATTGTTGTTGCTTTTACTGATTTTAATTCTACTGTTAACATTGTTGTTGCTACTGCTGCTACGAACTCTACTGCGACATCTTACAACACTATTTTTATTAGGTTTACTATTATTAACAGTAGTAGTACTTTTAGTAGAAGAAGTAGTAGTAGCTGAAGTAATAGTAGTTGTAGTAATGGTAGCGGTAGTAGTAGCAGCTGTAGTTCTAATAGTAGCTTTAGTAATAGTTGGAGCGTTAGTAATTGTCGTTGTATTTAGTGTTATTTTATTCGCTTCCAACAACGAAACTCAATAGATGAATCAATTTAGTCGGAAAAAGTGGTTTAGTTATAATTTGCAAACCATTTTAGGAAGAAACCTTATGCCAATTTGAAGTTAACTTATCAAAAACATGCATGTATGTGAATAAGTTGTTATTTGAATTGATTCTCTTAAATTAGAAACTCTATCGAGTTTCGTTGTTGGAAGCGTAAGGTTTCTTTCTAGATTAATTTGGTTTCTTAATTATAACTAAATCGCTACTCCGACTGAGTTTTTGAAAGTTAAAATGGATTTCCAGCATGAAATAGAGCGAATTAATGAAGTAATTTAAATCTATTGACAAATTTAATCAGCACAAACGAACTAATATGCAAAAAAAATAATTAAGATTATTCTGAAAATGAAAAAAATGAAAAAATTGTAAAATATTAAATATAAAAGTAAATATTGAGGCTACTTGATGTGTAGTGGTCAAACTGGCCATCATAAAAATCAATTTAGTAACTTCAAAGTATCTTTCCTTCATTTTCTAATATCTATCATTCATTTTTTACTATCTTTCATTCATTTTCTACTATCTTTCATTCATTTTCTTCTATATTTCATTCAGTTTTTTGCCTACCTTTTTCATACTCATGGTGATTTATTTTAGCTGCAAGCTTGACATGATGCATTTAGAAGACTTCAATCACTAGAGCATATTTTCTGAAAATAACTCATGTATTATCATGTCTACACACACGCCACACACACACACACACACACACACACACACACACACACACACACACACACACACACACACACACACACATACACATACATACACACCACACAAATACACACACACACACCACATACACACACATACACACACACCACATACACACACATACACACACACCACATACACACACATACACAAATACACACCTACACAATAGCAGATATACACAACCACACATAACACACAACATCACATATAAACTTAATCTTCGGTGCATACGTTCATAGCACTACGCCAGTAGCATTTCATTCCTCACATCTTTAATTGAAAAAACTGAACGTTTTTAAGAAACTTAAATACTACTACCATAAATATACAACATAATACCCACACGTATAGTATAACTTACTGTACAACAAACAACATACCAGAAATACAACAAACATATGACAAACATATGACAAACAACATACCAGAAATACAACAAACAAATGTAACGTATGTACATTCTATTGGTAAATATAACAAAACATTGCTTTGCTGGCTGGTTTGGAATATCAATCAAGCAATTAATGTACATTCATGGTTATAAGCATTGATACATCACGCGTTGTTCTCAAAATTGTGTCACAAAATTGTACACTTACACACACAAACACACACATCACACACACACATACACACACACATACACACACAAATACACACGCGCATATCTAATTTAGTCACATAAACTTTGTGCATATTGTCGCATTTTGAATGGCATCTCATCTCATAGAGAAAATTCAATAAAAGTTGATTAATTTTTCGCGAAATTGTCGCCAGCACGAATGCGTATCTATGAATACAAAATTTCTTTCAAACACACACACACACACACATACATACACATATATACAACACATACACGTAAACGCACATACACGTACATACACCCATACACGCACATACACGTACATACACCCATACATACACATGCACGGCAAAATGCACGATACAACGCGATGTCTATGGGACAACTCAGGAACAATATTTTTTCGCGAAATAACCGCACCAAACATAATCATCCAAAGGAACATGTTATTTGCATTATACCTGAACGAGGTTATGATGATGATAACGATGATGGTGAATAAGGAGATGACAGTACTGATGACGATGATGATGGTGAGGTTGATGATGACAGTACTAAAGATGATGATGGAGACGATGACGACGATGATGATAGTGCTGATGACGATGATGATGGTGAGGTTGATGATGATAAGGATGACCGATGATGGTGACGACGACGACGAAGATGATGATAGTGAAAGTTTCAGGGATTCGTGTGTATCTGTTCTTACAAGCATGGTTAATGTATTAGCGGGTGTCGTCTAGATGTTCCTCGCATCACATGTGCATAATTTTGGAGAGATTTTTCTCAAAAACCGGCTCCTAAAACAAAATAACATGAATGAATGAATGAATGAATGAATGAATGAATGAATGAATGAATGAATGAATGAATGAATGAATGAATGAATGAATGAATGAATGAATGAATGAATGAATGAATGAATGAATGAATGAATGAATGAATGAATGAATGAATGAATGAATGAATGAATGAATGAATGAATGAATGAATGAATGAATGAATGAATGAATGAA